TTTCTTTGCGCAGTGTCCAAGAATTCAGATGGAACTTGTGATTGCATTGATTTCGTCGACTATGTTTTCGGTCATGAGCTCTAACTCCCATGCTGTTGTTCCAGGGAAAGGAGGGGGGATCTATTATCTATGGATCCCCTCCCCCTGTAGCCGCGGCCGTGTATGCACGGCCTTAGGTCCGCGTTGACTTGTAACCTAATCGCCTCTTCCCCTTCTTCGTCTCCCTTCCTTCCTTCCGTTGGTCGGTATAAATAAATAAATTCCCAAATAAATAAATAAATATTGTTGTCGTTGTGAATTTGAATTTCGAGTTTAGCATTGTGGGAAGCTTCAAATGGTGGAAAATTTCAATAGAGATCATGCAATGATTGTTAGGTTTTTTATCTTTAGAATGTACACTTTTTTGGTTTTTATTTTAATTTCTATGATCAAGTGAAATAACAAAGTGGACGTCTGCGTTTAATATACATATCCACACCATCTCAAGTGCCGAATAAGTCTTGTCGAATTTTTGCTGAAATTAGTGTGAAAAGTCGAATCTTTACTGTTCCTAGACAAACACCAGAGAAGTAGTGAAGCAGATCAGTGAAGAAGAAGATTGTCACTCTTATGCAATACAAACAAACCTATACTGTTGGGCACATGAAAGCAATGAGAAGGCTTCTTTATCACTTTGTCATTTAATTAATTTATTATATATATTAAATATTTAAAAAATATATTTTTAATTTTTATTTATTTTCTTATTTCACTATACATTTAAATAAAATAAATAAATAAAAATTAAAACCTTGTGGGATGCCAATGCTGGAAGCCCTTCAAAATTTGTAAAAGAACTACTAAGTTACAGGTGAATACAATCAAGACCCAGAAATACAATACAAATATAAGGACATGTCCCACAATTTGATGTGTGTGTGTTTGTGTTTATAATATGTGAAGATATCTAACTTAAAAATAAATAAATTATAATCAATAGAAAAATTTGGAATGATATATGTAAAATTTTAAGAGCATACATATGTGATGAGAATTAGTATGAGTATTTTATACTCACTTTACACATTTTACATCATTTGAGCAAGTGACCGTGAAAATTGTAAAATAAGTTCATACAAACAAGTACACATAAATGTTTCCCTCAACCTGAAAATAATTATGGGTTTTAAGATTTATCATGGCATTATTGGAGAATCCTTTACTTTTGTACGAGATTACTTTTGATGGTGTTGGTAGCAAATTATTGATTTTAGGAAAAATCATTATAATGACATAAGATGCTTAAGGGTTTACATTGAAGTGAAAAATATAAATTTGATACGATAAGGAACACACACAGACACAAACACACTATGAAATGTAGTATTAGTATTCAAAAAATAAAAGTTAAAGAGCTTTCGATAACAAAAAATAAATGGAATAAATATTTTCAAATCTCAAGTTAAAAATGTGAAGTTTTTGTTTGGAATTTTATAAGATACTATTGTAATTAATAATAAATGAGAGATCAGTTGGAATACAACGTATTTATTTATTTATTTATATATTTTTAATCGATGATAAGTTTTTTTTTTTTTTTTTTGTTTCTTGTTAATTATCTTTTCATTTTAATCTTTGTTTCAAAATGTATGATAAGGCCTTAAAATCTCTTCAAAAACCTGTAGATGAGTTCTATCTTGCAAAAAAAAAATTTAAATAAAAAGTTCAGTAAATGAGTTTAAAAACTTTATCTTCTAAGCTTTGAAGATGTTTATATCGCAAAACAAAAAAAACTTCAATAGAAACTTCTCCTAGAGCTTTTTTTTTAATTGAAAATCCATGGAAAGGCTGGTAATGAGTTTCAATATCACATATATCTCTATATATTCACCAAAAACGTAAACATGAAAATGAAAAAGAAAAAGATTCAAAATGTTGAAGAAACTTTATATTTTCAAGTGATATGGCTGGTGTCTGGACAATTATTTATAATAAATTCACTAAGATCTCTTTTATTAAAATCCAATAATGTTTTATTATAAAAAATTATCTGTTTTCAATTACTTGTTGTTTTCACTCATTTGAATTGTATTTTTAAGAAATTGAAATTAAATATACACACCAAATGTGTATACAAATATATGTATCAAATTTTACATGATAAGTTAAACAAATAATTGAAAAAATTCTACATGAATTCAAGGTAGCTAAGGAATGACTTAACTTTTAAAAAATAAGAATATAAAAACTCGATTTTTTTTTATGAACTTCACAAATGCTGTTATGATGAATTTATATCAAAACAGTATGTGTGAAGTAAATCATTTGATTTTTTTTGCTTCCTACATTTTTTAGTAGTAATACTGAAAGGTGATTTTTAATGCGTGTTGTTAATCATCATAATTGATACTCTTTGATATCAAATAATTCATGTATGAATATAAAGTTAAATATGTATATGAAAACAAAATTTCAAATGATTTTTCTGGTTTATTAGAATGTTTTTATTTTATTTTATTTAATAAATAAATCTAAAATGAATTAAAAAATTCTTTACTTAAAAAAATACCAAGTCCTTTATTTATGTATTTGGAGTTTTAGTGAGTTTTAACTTCATTCAATAGTGCTTCTAAAAATATCATTATATATATATATATATATATACACACACACACACACACACACACACAAGTAAACCAAGAGTTTGTACAAGATATTAGGACAATTTTTTTTATTTTAACATATCAAATCAAAATTTTAAATTAAAAAATATATATTATCAGTAAATATTCTATAACAATTACATGATAAAATTCAACAAAAGATATCATTTTTTATAGATGTAATCTTGTTTATCAATCAAAATCATTATTAATACTAAAATGATTTTCGAATAGATAATGGGTCTACATACCATCAACTGAAAGGATTTTATTACCAACCAGTGAGATTTTTTAAGCACATAATAAAGCAAACGGAAATACCATTTTTTTACTCTTACAGGAATTATTTTCTCAACAACACAATAAATTAAATAAATGAATAAAAGAGGAGAAGAGGAAAGGTAATAGAAGAGAATAATTATAAAAAAAAGTGGGAAAGTTTGTTGCTCATTTCCATCAAATATTTTACCAAATTGCAAACATGTTATAACACACCTTCCTAATCTATAAATCCAATTGTGATCATCTCAAAGATACCACCTCAATTTAAATTATTAGAAAGCACTATCTAGGTCCAAATTCCTCAAAAAAGAAAAGAAAAGAAAAGAAAGACTAATTGTTTATTATTACATTTTTCCTTAATTTCAAAATCTAATTTGGTTTGGGAAGGAGTCAATGATTTGCTTGAAACATCAGATGCATCTTTGGTTTTGAGCCCTTTAACATTTCTCAAACAAATTATCCAATTTTGAGTGCCTTTGCACTGCACCACTTCACAACTTTAGCACCTCGAGACTTGATTTTGTGTGTTTTTGTAGTTGTCCATATTAATTCACCTCTTGTGTCTTAACTTTGAGGATCTTGTGTGAGTGTGTGAACTTGGCAAGGGACTTGATTGACTGCAAGAAAAATGAAAAAAAGAACCAAGTAGTAGTGGGCATTTGTATACAAAGAATTTGGAATAACATGTGAAACTGTGTTAATCAATGTGGAGCATGGCACCTAATTCAAACTAATGTAATTCAAACTATTCTTGGTTATAGTGTTTGACCAATGCTTCATAAAGCATTGAAACTACATAGAACTGGAATTGGAAGGTAGAAAAGGAACACATGGGTATTGGGTCAATATCCGGCTTGAATCACACTTGAAAAACTACAAAAGAAAAGAACATTGTCTAGATATATTTTTTGTAGACTTGGAAGCAATAAAATAGTGATGATAATAACAACAAATGTTTCAAATGTATACAAATGAACCCATTAAAGATTGGATGTAAAAGAATACTGAGATTTGCAAAAATAGTATCAATAGGTTTTAGGGACATGTGTCTTGTGTGTTGTCTAATGGGTGATGTTGTGTGTGACATGTATTAAGTGGGTGTGGCATGGAATGAAGAATTGAGATTGCTATGGAGCAAGAATGGGTCTATTCACACCACAAAGGGACATAAATTGGCAAAACGAAGGTACCCCTTATTCCTTTTCGGAAAAAGAAAAAAAGTTGCCAAAAAAAGACAAATAAATTAATAATAATAAAAAAAAACAGAAAGAGGGGAGGGGGCTACAATAATAATAGAGTATACTTGTTTTCCAATCATCCTGCATCATCTATCTTGTGACAAAATATATAAATGAAATTGAATCTGATTCAATTTAAGTTTGATTCCATCATCCAATCTAATATCCAAGTTAAGTGACACATCTATTCATCTATCAAAGGATGGCGCTTCTGGCATCTGATGCCAAAACCTCTAACACCTTATTCCAAAATCATCACCCAACCTACAAATGATCCAACACCTAAATTCCATAGTCTATGATATCACCTCTTTTCAAATTTGCACAAATTTTTACACCCAATTTTAATTCCCTTGGTGTTGTGAATAAATCCTCACAAACACAAACCCACTGAAGAAAACTAAAAACGCAAAATCAGTTTCAAACTAGTCCAAATCCCTTCTGTGAGTTCAGTAGCATATCAATAATACTGAATTGAAACCAAACCGTATCACAATGCATTAGTTCTGTTCTACATGTAAAACAGGAGGCTTTGAATCCACGTCAACCGCAGCTGTTTCAAACAGAAGTCATCACATTATGCAATTGAATTGTGAGAACCACTAATACTTTGATGCTACAGTGAGCATAGACATCGGGTTCTTCTCATGCAAAGCTTACGATCGAGGCTGTGCGCTTTATTCCGGAGGATCGACCAGAAAGGAGGAAAAAACAAGCGACATCGATGTGGTCACACACTCAAACACACACTTGCACAATCTCACACACACACACACACACAGATTGACACCAAGTCAACAGAAAGAAGCATGAATCCATGATCACCGACTCCACACGATGCTGATGAACTTATGAAGATGGCGTAGCTGCGGCGTTTCGGCCGACACTAAAAGTTTGGGTACTCATGATCTGGTCTAGTATTTGTGTTTAGCCTATTGAACAAATATCGATTCCACTACTAGATGATTTCATGACTAGTTTCGGATGCTTGCCACATGGGTTGGGTTTATAATGGTAGGACGTTGGCGTTCGACACTGTTGACGCACACAGACATGGAGATTGGTAAAAAATTAATAGAAAGAATTGGGTTGTTTTCAGTCGTGTGGAGACGGGTCTCGAGGCAGACGTAGAGTCCGCAGATTTTTTAGCATTTGCTAGCTAATTCTAAGCCTAGGAAAGGTCGCTGATTGGAATGTAAGAACCTTTCTCTAGAATTTGTTGATAGTTGCAGTATGCCGTTACAAGTGATATACAAATGCTACCCCACGGCGTGGAAATGGCTCGTCAGGGTTGGAGAAGAGAGAGGGGGAGCTAGCGCGTTAAAAAGAAAAAGGGCCAGAGCCCAACTGCTGCTGCTCGACAAAGGGGATTCAGTGTCAAGTGACAACGAATTTAGCCACTAGAATAGGCGACATGACAATGGTTCCCCGGTTTTGTCATCCGCCATCACGACGTGCGTCACGTTACAATCTAGCACATCTTGCTTGAGCTTTGCCCCTGCGGCCTTAAGACCCCGAAGCGAAGCAGCCTGATTGAAGAGATTAATCACTGGCAGTTTTGAAGCTGCTGGAAGCTTCCCATTCGGCAACATGGGGACGAAATCCTCCTGCACAGGCAGCAACAATTGCAAGTCCAGTTCAGTCACAGCTCTTCGCACCTGTGAAGTATTTGTGATCGATTCTGGGTTCCCTCGAGACCATATTCAACCACTGTTCTGTAGACAGTAACATTGAGAAAAGCATGATTTTTGCAAAAAGAAAAATGACATTGTCATACCTGCAACAGTGGGACGATGAAGTCCATGGGATCGTGCTGGAGCTTATTTTCATTAGCACCAATGTGAGCACCGGGTTCCATGTGATTCGTGCTGAAACTTGTCTGGTTGGGAAAGTTGGGATACAGCGTTACATATCCCCGCAGGTACATCATATCAATCAGAAACTTCTTCCATGACGCCTGTCCCACAGATCATCATGTTAGTCGAAGACATTTTTAGGCTTACAAGGGTAAAAATATTCAAACAAGCACTGGTATACTCTTCACATCGTGTAAAGAACAGAGTGACAGAGAGGGAGAGCTTAGAAACAATTCCATGATGACCTACCTGCCAGCCGTTGGTTCGAGACTTGGGAATCTGGACTGGGTTCGACTTCGCGTCCTCTGTAAACCTCATACCCATGTACTTGTAAAATTCTCGCCATCTTGCTGGCATGAACAAGGCACCCCAGCTGCATGGCAACTGGTGCAAGTAGGGTGTGTTTGGATGCACGGGGCTGAAGAAATCGGTGGCATTCCAGTGCGGCCTCTCCTTCACAACCTCCACTACACGGGGCGTGTACAAAGCAATGGAATTAAGCTCTGGAAGATGAACGTTAGGGTTGTAATAGTATTGCATGAGAGCGTACTTAAGCCACATGTAGTAATAGGGAGACACTTCAATATCGTCCTCCAGTAGAAGGCCAAACTCATCGTTTGAAGCAGGGTACCTGCATTTTGCACGAGGAGCCTCAGTCTACGGCAAAAGGACCTATTTATAGATTACATGAAGACAAAATTAATGCCACGATAGCTACGGTATAGAGATCAGGGGAATGAAGGTGAGGGAGAAGAAAAGGTAGGGTTCCTCTTTTACCAGCTCTCGCTCACAGCTCGAATTAGACCCCCTTGGATGATACGCCGTCGTACAATCTTCTTGCCGTGGGGCCAGTCGAACGAATCAACCATATTTAAGGTTGGATTGTCTACAGCGCTGTCCATGTTGAAGGATATGTCGATCGTGTCTCCAATGTAGAATGCGTTCGTCAGAGACTGCAGCAAGCGCGTGAGAGAGTTGGGTCTGTTTTGGGTGATGATGTTTATTCGGATACGCATCTTGCTCCAGGCTGATCGAGAAGAGGGTTCACGGCGCAAGTTAGATTACTGTCAGCAGTAAAGTTTAGGGAATAGACAAATTTGTGTTCACTACAGACGGAGCTTCATAACAATATCTAACGAAAATTTGCATACTTTCACACTAAAAAGATTCTTACATCGAAGTGCTGCAGGCGAGACGGAGGTCATCCAAAGAGCATGAGAGAACGAGGATCGAGGAATCTGCACAAGAGTTGTATTGCTGGGCACTTGTCTAGTTGCTAATTTTAACGCCTCCAACACAGCAGTAGGAAGGTCATTGACGGTGATCAGGAGAGTGGGCGAATGCATCTGAATCAACCCCCGCATACCTGCAGAGACCTCTTGAATAATGGGTGTCTCGACGAAGGTCCTGTGAATTGACCCAACCTGCTCGAGTATAGCCACATTGTCAGCTTCAATCACGTTTTCTTCCAATGGTGTTTAAAACCAGGGCTTAGGGTTTTGGAACAATAGATTGAAGGTTTGATGTGTTACCTCGAGATCAAACACTTTGAATCGTCGATCTTTGCATGAAGCTGGACTCCAACCTAGAACCTGTGCGGCATCCTCACAACGGCAGAATTGTCCTCCACTGATAACCAAGTAAGCTTTTCTGCCAACGGTAGTACGATACTTCAGCAGCAAGGGGGCCATGTCCTTAACGTCATCAATGCTGTGCGCATAGAAGAATGCGTCGCTAACCTGAGGGTTCATCTCCGCCCATTGAGTTATGTATCCCCTCGAGAAATATCGCCACCATTGGTTGTCTCGTACCTGGTTTTACAGTGGCTTTTATTTTATTTAGCTAGATCGTTAAGAATGGCATGAATTTGGGCTCTTAAGGGCATAGCCTCCATAGAAAGGAATAATTTGGAAGCTCACTGATGCACTACGCAAACATAGAACTCGCAACTGCAGCAAAGAACTTGTACCTCCACAACGTGCGGGTGAATGACGGTGGTCTCCGAAACCTGGGCAAGGCGGTGATCCTTGTCCGCCCAGGTTTGCATATCCTTGGGATCAACCGGAACTACGTATGAGCCGTGGCCATAATACTTTTGAAGCTGATAACTGTGACACACCAAGCCGCGGCCCATAAAATCAGCAAAACACCAAGATAACCAGGCTGTAAACCCCAAGAAATGTGATTTTTGGAGAATTTTCAGTGAGAATTTTGGCATATTTGACCCTTAGATCACTGATTCTGAAGTGAGGGTCATCACCTGAGATGAAGATCCTCCCCAGTCGTAAACGTGGCGGGTGTCTCGATGAAAATGGCCTTAACAAGGTCCGCGGAAAGGAACCAGCCACTTGACAAGAAATCCACCTTCACAATTCTATCCACTATGATATCGTAGGCTGGATCTGGCAGGTACAGACCCGCTTCTTTAGAGTTTGACTTCCGGTAACTAGGAAAGCTGAAATCCTTCTGTCTCAATGGCAGGATACGGCCGATGTAGCCCAACACAGAATTACGGTATTTCTCGGTTCCTGCTATGTGGGCTAAGATTTGGAGGACCTTTTTCCCGGGTATCATGTCATCATCCAGCAGATAAACAAAGTCTGCTCCTTGAGACTGCATGCCATGAGAAACAAGGACAGAAAGCTTTTAAAAATTGGTCCAATTCTGCGGTTTACGATACACGATGTAATTCGAAGCAGAACGCAATAATGAGGCACGAAGAAAAGAAAAGAAAAGAAAAAAGAAAAAGAAAAAGAAAAAGAAAAAATCTAAAATCGCGAATTAGTTCTTGTCTCAGTTCATGTGCAAATTGTGATGCGTAGACTATGGCAAGTCACAGCAACCTAATCACTTGCGAACTTGCGAACTTGCGAGAACATCCTCTTCTGTAATGGGATTCCTACCTGCAGTGCCAGCTGAAAACGTCCGTAATATCTGTAATCATACTTCGACTCTATAATGTTGATTCTGGTATCGTTGTATGCTTCCACGATCGCTCGCAACTTATCTGTCTGAGGACTCCCGAAGGCCACAACCCAAACTTCGTGTACAGGAAGTGTCTGTTCCAGGAGCGCATCAAGTTGAGCGCACAGTGTCTTCCGCTGAAAATGATTCAAAATCACTGTCACCTTGGCACCACCACCAGTCGAGGGCAATTTCATCAGCTCATCTAGGGTTTCGCATCCCCGCTTCTGTTGCTGAAACTCCATTATCTCCCTGCAACCATTATTTCCCCAGGAATTAAATCCAATGCCGCAATTCGATCAGTATCTTAGAAACATGTAATGTACTCAACTGCCTAAGCGAAGCTTGTCTTAATTGCAACTGACCTGAACAGGCTGGTCTTTTTCTCAATCAATTGAGTTTTGTTAGACTTCATCTGATCAAACGGAATATTTTCCGCCTCGCACACAGCACTCTTGGGCTCTTGCGGTACCTCCTGCAACCCCTTTCTAGGCACTACGCCCTGTGTGACCGCTGACAGCGGGTTGTGTGAGGAGTCGTCATCGAACATGGATGTAGAGGTCGAGAAATCAGGAATGGGGTTCAACCAGTACAGCAGACAGGTGGCGTATATCACAAATGAGAACTGCAAGCCGGTGAGTAGCACTGCGAGACGCAATGAACTGTGGATTTTCCATGCCGATGAACGACTCAAATGGCGCCCTTTCGGAGAGGTCGCTTCGGAGACGTCGGGTAAAGCCTTTACAGCCATCGAGGCTGTAGCCATGGATGAAGATTTCATGTCATCAGAATCCGCGCAGAGTCGCATGTTAGAACCTGATCTAAGAAGAGGCAGCATTGCTAGAATGCACGTTAGTGTTTGTAGTTACGATACTCTTATTCTCACCACACTTCCGAGGTACTTGTTCACGTCAGGATCAATAAGAAGTACTTTGTGTCCGGGACGCTATCAAATTGACCCACTATTATACTAACTGATTTCCAACTTGGACGGGGCAAACAGTATGTTGCTGCCTGTTTCCCTTGTGACGCAAATGTACCCCGAGTAAGGAATGCGGACAACCACAGCTGGTTCTCACGCCCTAAGATGGACTAGTTAAGGAAAGAAATGACATTCCCGCGAAAGCAACGAAGGTTGCTGTTGAAGATGATGAACATGTAGCTTGAACTTATTACTTGTTCTGGTCCCTAGAGGTTCAGTTCCGACCATTGATCTCAAGTGTGAGCTCAAGTGAACTGTATCGAAAATAAACTCAACCGCAGATTTCTAGTGCAGGAGAGTACTGGGCCCTTAGAAGTCTCGCACATTAGAAACGATATGGTGGATCTGGCATCATGTTCACTCACTAAACCCCGGAATCTGCAATTCGAGATGCGCAATATCAAAGCATTGAACGTGAGACAGAAGTCTCCAAACCAGTTTAGAATACCAGTCAGTACCGGTAACATTCCGAAGGTTAGAAATCATTCAGAACTACTGCAGGCATTCGCACCGTACCAATGCAGCACAAGAAGAAGCCATAATCTCAACTGAACTGACTCGACCTTTGTGAAGCTCCACAACACCTGGTTGGGAGCACCTTGCCGGATCTAACCCGCGGAGCACTGCAGCTGAACAGTGGACTCTTCGACGTACTGCATTGACACAAAGGCCACTGGAACAAGTACACCGCTGCGTCACGGCGTCTGCGGATAGTACTGGAATGTCATAGTATATTCATAACTAGCGCGGAGATCGACCACAACCTAACTGAGTCGGTCGATGGAATCTAGTGGCATCTAGGCTACAGGGCGTGGTATTCTACATTGATCGGGATAGCGGCAGCAGGTGCTAAATCGCGGATCCATTAAACGATCCACCGAATGCAACGTCGTGGTCCCCGACGGTGGTGCCGTAGTATGCACTAGAATAGGATGAACAGTGCACGTAAACCACACTTTGGCGACCTTTTCCACACACCCAGCCATGTCTGTGGTCTCTCATTGAGTCAATGCCGACGTCCAACTTCCAATCTGTTTCCGAACACTTCCGATTACCTTGCCTACCCTTTAGCAGTATTTGTTTTTTCAAGTAACCTTGAGGAGAGTTAACGATATGCTGGAATTAATCCTAAAATCAGCTGAAATTAAATTGTATGGCCTTTCGATACTTCGCAAACAGCGTCTACTTCAAACGCACACTTGAAGTGAGTAATGGCAATAAATCTGTTCCCAATTAAACATAAGCTCTTTGCAGTAGCCGAGGAAAAGGAAAACCTGTGGAATCATCCCGCATCATGACAGGTGCACACAAATGTTACATTTCCTGAATTGAGTATTAATGTGCAAAAGACTGGTGGATACCAACATACAAAAAAAAATCTGTGATTCTTAGCTCATTCAAGCTAATTTAACTCGTTACAGCGCATAGACCCCCATTCCAATCATCTGACTATGGAGGAGATATCTTCATAGTTCACTTTAATATTAGTCCACATTGATGCATATCGTTAAAGCTGTATTTTGCCTTCCAAGGATAAACGTATTACGAGACACAATACTTCTTCATTAACGGATGAATTCGTGCACGCTACGATGGGTTGCTGTAGCCTCTGCTATTGCTCCATATGTTAATCCAGTTGGATTTTGGCAACGGTGGAGGCCACACTCGATGACTAACCTCTTTCAAGTGCGTCCATTTTGGGCTATTATTTCTCTTAGACGTGGGATAGAGTATTTCCATAGCGTTTTGTGCTCCCTTCGAGAGAACTATAACAGATAATCATGAGTGAAGTTGCAGCGAAATCAACCACCAACCTCGCTGCAGCACACCAATTTCCAGCTATCGAATTCTATCAAATTCCGTTTGATTAGGCAATAAAATTACACTTAATTACAAACTTTTTGTCTACAAACAGGGTTACACGCGCCTGAATTTCCTCCTTTGTTTTCCAGCAGCCTATCGTGGGTACAAATAAAATATAAAGCTTGTAGTTAGAGATATGAGCGCTTTTAAACTTTACAGTTGAAGAGTGGCTTTACATTATGTATAGTCACAAAGGGGTAGGGGACAGTGCAGTGTATCTAACAATGGTGCAACTCAAGTCGTCGAACTCTAATTTCCGAACACACTATTTTATACTCGATTTCCTTTTATAGAATATCAATCATTTAATAATAGAGACTCAACGAAATGACGACCACGGAGATATCCAAAGAGAACAGCTAGCGCCATGCCAAATTGTCATAATCCGTGGCTGCATGATCCTGAAGCAGGCAAAAGCTTCTGGAACTCTCTGCACGGATCGACTGGTTGGAGTTCGAGATATACATCCACCCCGAATGTGTACAGAGCCAACGGGGGAGTTCGTTGCCCCCGCCGCCTCGAAGCCCGGGCATGACGAAAGCCATCAAAGAGAAATTTTAACCCCACTCAAATCAGTTACTTTTGTCATTTTCCGCCAGCCGAGAAACTCACACGTTCTGCTCCAGCGACCTGCGAATCGCATAACATCGCATCGCATCGCATCGCATCGCAGAATTGACTCACACGTTGTGGCAAAGAGCACCGACGTGGGCAACCCCATCTGTCAGACACTTCCTCTCGTTGTGCTCGCCGGTAAACGATGCACCTGTAGCACCAATCAGGGAATTGGCCAGGTCCACTTGGCAAATGCCGCTCAAACTGTTACACACATCCTTTACCTTAAACAGGATTCTTTTGGCAAGCTCAAACCACCAGCTTTGTCCAGCCCACGTCGTCAACAGCTATGCAACCCTAGTTATCCTTAGTTAAGCCCCTCCACTTAGGCGAAACCCACACCGCGTTGTCTCTATTCTGGCGCTAATAATCCAGCCCAAGTAACACTATATGCAGCAACATCGGATAGTTGTCTATTAGAATCAGAGAGGAGTCATCGTTTTCCTCAGAAAGCATCATGTTAACTGCTGCAACTGGTTCACCTAGTGTCGGTACTTCTAATTCCTAACAAACACCAACGCCGCCCTTTATAATCCTGTACCGATAACATGCACACTGCTTCACCAAGTAGAGCTCGTTGATGCGTTTTCCTACATTGTAAAGATGAGAATGTTCTCGTCAGACTGTTGATTGCGTGACTTAGAATTATAGGGGTATCGAGTTCCATTTCCCCAGTCCGAAGGGGATTTTGAGACATGTATCATCGACGAATACCATAACTTGAGTGTGAAAAATTAGGCGATGGCTTAAACTAGATTACTTCGATGGGCATGAAAGTCCCTCCAGAAGCAACTGGAAGTTAGATGGAGATATTCTGATGATGTGGATTCCTAAGCAGAAGTGAAACATCGACTCGATTAGTCGGTTTCTCGCACATGTATTCTTGAAATAAATGCTGAAGAAGTTGTCCTAGAGAAAAACGTGTTTCTTGAATGTAATTTAAGATGTTACTTTCTTTGTGATGTACTAATTTTAAATACATTCTTATTCGAGTACGATCAAATCAACCAAGGTTTTAGATTCTGTGACGTTTTTGTCAAACTATTGTAATAAGAATGTTAATTATGTTTTTAGAGTTTAATATTTGGATTCAAACATGTGGTGTGCTATTTTTTGCACTTTACATAACACAATTATATGGATTGTTTCTTGTTTTTTTGTTTTTTGTTTTTTGAAAGTAATGGTGATATATTACTAAAATTAGTGGAATAAACCTCAACCTGGTTCTCCATGAGGGTTGGTAGATTTGTGAGGGTTGGAGCCAATTCCACTTAGGTTAACAGAAATTTCCTGAACAAAAGAAATCATTCTTACTCCAAACAGCCTTGAATTCTTGACTTATTATCTCGCTTCTAATATCACCACATTTATCAAAGTATGTATGTATGTCTAGCCATCCCAATATAAATTGTTTTTTGCCAAGCTAGATAGCAGATTTCAATTACATTAAACTATTCTTAAAAAAAAAAAAAAAAAAAAAAAAAACGGCATCGGGTACACCAGATATGCCACATAATGGCTGTTTGGAGGATGTCTCTACTTAAGTTGCATGTGATGGTTTCTAATATATAATCTTACATTGAACGGATGCTTGTTAGAATGATGAAGAACATTTCCTTCCAAAATAGTGTTGATGACATGCTTAAAGTGCTCCACATTCCATGGAAGAAAAGTCAAATTCTCCTTATATATTGGCAAGTGCAAAGACAATATTATGGGATTTTTAGGATATTTACTTTGTAATTGTTACAATAGCTAGAAAAACATGTTGTCTTGCTCCAACTGCTAGTTAAAAGGCTCCAAAATTAATTTGCCAAAGAAAAGTTTTCAATTTTGCCAGTTTATTATTATTCTAGATGAGTTGGATGGTAGTCTTGATTTTATTTGCCTACAAGCCTAGTTGTTGTAGCTTGATGTGTAGTCTCATAGTTAGAGATGAATTGGATAGAATAATTTAGTAGGTATAGTAGGTAGAATAATTAAAGAAAGAAACTTGACTTAAGGGACTTATTTTACTCCATTCTAAGTCAAGAAAATTGAAGGATAAGTCTTATATAAGACCTAAGTTCCAAACATACTTCAAATTTGTTTTTGAATTGATTATTGTAGTTTGAAGATCTCTACTAGATATGATGATTTGGATGTGGTGCAAGTTTTTGCTAGTAATGTTGATTAGTTTTTTTAATATTGATAAGTATAAAGATTGCATTGCTATCATGAGAATGAACGACCTTTAAGTAGATTGTAGAATTGAAAAATAATGCTGCAAACTCCATTATCTATTTATGAAGCTACTCAATTAAAAGTTGAGATGGACAAAGATTGAAACATGTTTGAGTTATTAAGGTTGGTTGTTAAGATCTCATCTCAGCATTGCATTGTGTATTTTTTTCTAAAGAGTGCTATTAGTTCTTATGCCATCTTTTATTTTTTTTATATTAGATGCCACAAATCTTTTAGTTGAAGATTTTGCTTGTACATCTAGTTGGCATTAAAGGAATATGATATATCTCCAAACATATCATTGTAGGTAGCTAGTAATTTAGTATTTCAAAAGATGTGCTGATAAGCGATGGCATTTATTGTTGTTGATTTTTGGAAAATAAAACCATATTAGATTCTCTTCCATGACTTTTAAAAGATTTATCATAGATTTGAGTTGGTGGCATAGATTGCATTTGCATAGAGAAAAAAGTAAATATTTAAAGGATCATTGGTACCCTACTTTAGATGTAGGCTAATAACTCAATGTTGGAGTAGCACTTTCTAAAGAGCAATATATGGCATGAAATTCCAGATAAAGATTTTTTGCAAGTAAAGCTTGCATATACATTTGTAGATCTATAAGCTTAAGTCCTATTATCTTTGGAGTTGTATCAATGAATCCAAACCGACCTTGGCTCTATAGGAGTATTTTCTATTCTCTCTTAATCAAACATAATTGCGTATTAAAGCTTGGATTTTATTAATTATTTGTAGACAAGGACTCTAACACAAAGACACGTAGAAGATGGAGGCTGTAAATACTTGATTGGCAATCAAAACTTGATTGATCAAAGATAATTTTACAAAGCTTTAATGTGCTAGTTTTTGCTTAAAGGTCTTTAAAATTGCTTAAAATATCTTTTTTTTGGGACTCAAAACCAATCATAAATTTGACATATTGAATCATTTCTCTTAGTTTAAGCCATTTGAGGTCATTTTTATTCCACCAATTAAAAGACTTGGAATTCTTGCTAATCCAAATTATATTAGATTTATGCCAATTAATTTTAGCCTCCATAGTAGTTGCAAAGATGTTGAATGCTTGTTTGATTCTATTCAAGTTGGCTAAATTGCTAGCGAGATACAAATTTGTAGCATTAGTAAATTCTTA